CCTCTCTTGGACTGGCCTCCGGAAGTCTGGCCCCATGCTTCACTGTGGATCTCTGTATCTGCTTTCATCAGTTGCCAGATGAAGGGTCTATGATGACAGTTGAGGTAGCATGACTGCCAGTTTTTATGGGACCTGGAACAACATAACTCCTGGCTGTGCCATACAATGTCTTGATACCTGGGCTTTAGAACTCAGCAGATCTTATGGTAAACACACATATCATACGGAGTTTCTGGCAAACCCCAAATGAGAATTGCAGCACTAAGGATACTATATAGAATTTTGAGAGAGGAACTTACCAGATCTGTGATGTCTATACCACTGAGTGCCAATTCTTGGCTTACTACCAGGCATTTGGTGACTGTTTAACAGCAGACTGGGATACTAAGTGACTGTGTGACATAGACTGTTCTTTAGGAACTAAGTGTGATCTAGTTCACTAAATCCTAAGTGCAGGCATCAGAATTCCACTACTGAATGGAACAGTGCATCCTGGGAAAGGTTGGCACAGTCTGGAAGCACAGGTAGATGTCTAACAAACTTCCATACCCCTTTTCCACTACTTACACATTCCGGCTCAGGGTCATTTAGCAGAGGACGAGTGCGGGCAGGCCTGGTTTATGATCAGTCAGCACTCTGTGTTGGCACCCATGTGAAGCAGCTTGCTGCTGACTTATGGCCCCGATTCCACAAAGAGGAATGACAACGAAGAGAAATTCTCCCAGTGGGTACAGTATTGAGCAGTACATTTCATTGACCTTTTTGTTAGGAAGGGGAACTGGCCTGAGGAATGAGTCAATATTGATTTATGCACAGTAGATAATAGATTAGCCAGTGACTTGAAAAGAAGATGATTAAAATTCAGGAAATCATTAGATAAGGTATTTTGGATGGGCTATTAGAATTATACAAAATGTGAAAATATTTGTGAACTGTATTACCCCCACCCGAGGGCATCCACCTGATAAGTGATTCCTCAAGATGATCTGCCCTGTAGATGTCATCCAGCTAGTCTCTTTGCCCAGTCACTATAGTGCTTGCTTAGTTGTCCCATATGGCAATAAGAATGTAAGGTAAATAGTCTACTTAACAGTATGGATTTCTGTTTGCCAAGTATAGTCCAGTACTGTCATCATGGAGTGTTTGACTTGCTTACAGCAGAGGCCATTACAGAGACTCAAGTCTGATATTGTTGTCCCGATCAGCCAGTCATCTGATGGTAATTTACTTGTACTAGATCTTTTCTATGATATGGGAAAGACAACTTGCCTCCACAGAAGTAGATATATATTGCACGTTCGTCTTTCCTGTCCATAAAGCCCCTCCTAGTGTATAGCCCACGGGCCCGTAGAACACCTTGTTTCCTCTCCCTGCTTCCTGCTTCCCTGCCCCAACTGGGCTCGCTGAGAATGCAGTGTGTCAGGGGCCTCACACCCATGAGTCAGAAATGGCTAATTAATAGAGTGGGGGTGGGTGTTTGCTGACTGAGATGTGGGCTCCATGAAGATATGGCCTACAAATTAACCCAGTATTCATATTCTGCAATATATAGTCCATGGTCAGAATTCATGGGCCTGTGAACCAAGGGCTAGATGTACCATTGCTCTTACATTATTCCTAATAATCCTGGATAATTTTTGTCCTTATAGTTTATTATCTATAATTTTGTCTCTATACACTGTGCTTGGTGGGTTTGAAGGCCCAACTAGACAAGGGACAGATATTTTTCCTCATCTAAACAAATCACACTGCTATTAACTGAGGAGTTGAAGCTACTACACAGCTGCATTTTTGTCCTCAGGCCCATGAACTAACAGACCAGAGAAGGAACACTGCATTGGTTGGTGTTATTGGTCCTGATTACTACAGGGACGTTGGTTGTTGTTGCACAAAGGAAGAGGACTATGTCTGGAGCCCTTCAGTACTCACGTTAGCTAGAACACTGATGCTCAGGAGAATGGGTAGCCTGGATCGTATGAGGGAAGCCCCAAGGATGGAAGAAAAGACAAATCGTGGTCTTTTGAAGACACCATTTCAATGATCATGTTATTCCTTCCATGAGAGGGAAATACTTTTCTTATTTAAACCACTAGAATTTGTTTTACAGCAGCCCAATTTATTTCCTAAAAAGTATTAACTATGATATGTTGAGCTGATGAATTAGCCAAGGTCTGTCTTCCAACAAATTTTCTTGTGAGAGAAATAGCCTATTTTATTTAAATCTTTTTGAGATACATGCAAAAGCATGTTAATTGATACAAATACCTCTTCAAAATTGTTTGTTTTAGACTCCATAACATAGTCGGTATATCATAGACTCTATAGTATAGAGGGAACTGCAAGTTTGGGCATCAGTATTGGAAAAACTCCTGATTTAGGGAGGACTTTACTTATGATGAGGTAAAATGAATATGAGAAAGGACCAATAGAAGAAAAATAAATTGAGGATAAAGAGTAGAAAAGAGTTTATAGAATAAGATGTTAGAGGTGCAAGAGCTTTATCTCAAAGTTTATTCATGTTGTACATGTATAGTATTCCATTATAAATGGTATTCCACTGTATGGATCCACCACATTTGTTCATGTTGTAGCGTGTATAGTATTCCATTATAAATAGTATTCCACTGTATAGATACACCACATTTGTTCATGTTGTAGCGTGTATAGTATTTTATTATAAATGGTATTCCACTGTATGGATACACCACATTTGTTCATGTTGTAGCGTGTATAGTATTTTATTATAAATAGTATTCCACTTTATGGATACACCACATTTGCTTACCCATTAGTTATTTGGCATTTGATTTGAGTCTTATATAGCGAGGGTTTTTTTTCATAATTTCTTTGGGCTACCAACCCCCAAATAATGGCACAGAGACTTATTATTAATTATGAAAGCTTGACCTTTAGCTTAGACTTGTTCCCAAATAGCTCTTATGGCTTTAAATTAACCTGTTTCTATTAATCTCATTTTGCCATGTGGTTTTTTGCCTCTTCTCCATTCTATGTTTCTGACTCCCTTTATGTCTTGCTGATCTCCTGCCACATCAGATTCTAATACCTAGTTCCCCTCTCCTCAAAAGTCCTGCTCACTCTCACCTACCTAGCTCTTGACCATTGCTCTTTATTAAACCGATCAAGTGCCTTAGTCAGGTGAGGCAAAACATAGACACGTCTTCACACGGTGTAAACAAATATCCCGCAACAGTCTTAGTTAGGGCTTTACTGCTGTGAAGAGACACCATGACCACAGCAACTCTCGTAAAAGAAAACATTCAACTGGGGCTGGGTTACAATCCAGAGGTTTAGTCCATTATCTTCATAGTAGAACACATGGCAGCATGCGGACAGGCATGGTGCTGGAGAGGGAGCCAAGTGTTCTGTGTGTGGATTGGCAGGCATCAGGGAGAGAGTGACACTGGGCCTGGCTTGAACATCTGAAACCCCAAAGCCCACCCCTAGTGATACACTTCCTCCAACAAGGCCACACCTCCTAATAGTACCACTTTCTATGAGCCTGAAGCCATTTTCTTTCAAACCACAAGTTGCTTCTACTTTTTCCATATTATTAACACTAACATTGCTAAACAAGTTTCTGTGTGGACTTCCATTATAATTTCTTTAGGATACACACCTAGAAGGAGAACTGCTGAGTTATATAGTAATCTTGTGTTTAGTTCAAGGAAGAACCAGACTCTGACTGCAAGCATCAAGCAAGCTCTCAAAACCTGCCCTCAGTGACACACTTCCTCCAGCAAGGCCACATTTGGTAAACCTACCGAAACAGTGCTACCAACTAAAAATCAAGTATTTGAATGCCCCAGATTATTGGGAGATATATCATTCAAACCACCCTAGTGTTGCTCAATATATAAAAGTATGTGTGTGTTTGAAAGAGAGAGCAGCTAACTGTATAATGTAAAATAAATTATAGAATTATTTTTAAATTTCCATTTAAAATATTTAATATAAATAATTCAGACAAAAAATACCAGGATTGCTGAAATCATTAGGTAAAAAGTCTTCAGGCTACAGGTGAAGACATACTATATCCACAGTCATTTACTGAAGCTTTTTTGTAATGTCCAATCTCCATGTTTACCCATAAATTACTTCACTAAAAAGGGAAATGGGTTTTACAAAAGTGGGTTGCTTGAAATAATACCCTAAGTAGAGAGCATGGATCTGGCCATTAAGAGGCTGGTGGTGTGTGGATCAGCAGAGTGTGGGCAACAAAACTGAGGAGGCGAATGGGATGGGAATGCCTCGTGGTCGAAGAGTGTGAAGGGACGGGTCTGTAGCATGCTGACCACACCAAAGTTTGCACAGAGAGGCAGAAACATCAAAAACAAATTTAAAAAAGAGTAAGGATTTTTTAGTATTTGTTGCATTTCGCTTTTCCTTGTAATTTGCCTCCAACCTTTCTGAGGGCCACAGCGTCCTGTACCACTCTGCTGGTGGGGCTGATTTCTCTCCCCTTTTGCTGTCAGACTATATAGAACTTCAGACTGGCTTCACAACTTTGGGGAGATGCTTCATTAGACATTGAACAGTTACAGATCACAGTGAATCTCTAGCTTCGATCTAAATTAGCCTAATTTTAAGACTCAGACTTGCTTAGTATACATACACAAGAATGCAGGCTGTCTTCTTTTTAAAATGTGATCTTACTTTTAAAACGAAACTTAAAAAATGCTGGAGGATAATGTGAAGTGCTTTTATTTGTCCAAACGTTGCTGGTGTGCATTGGAGCAGACAGAATAATGGTGGCTTCTGTATTTCTGTCACTAGATAATGCTTTTAAAATCACGTGTGCCAGGGGGTGCTGTTTATTTGTGTGTGTTTTTGTTGAAAATATTGCAGTATATAGTCTGTCACTGTCCTCACAGTCTGGGGGTGGGCCAAGGTACAGAGGGTGTGACGCTGGTATTTGTGTGAACTCCAGCTGGTGATGCTGAGCTTGGTTCATCTGCTTTCTCCTCCCTTTTCCTCCCCAGTCCTTCCCACCAGCGCCACAGCAACATCCTCCGAGTCTGAGAGAACTGCGCCCAGAGCGGGCACAGAGCCTTTTACTGCCGGCAACCTGCGGCCCTGGAGAAGACCACAAGAGGAGTGACCAGCGCCTCTCCACCGCCAGCCTACGGACCGCCATGGCCAAGAGCCGCAGGGACAGAAACAGTTGGGGTGAGTAGCAATCAGTAACTTGTGTAGCCTTCACAGGGTTTAGCCCTCTGTTTTCTGCTGCTGAGTGCCTGCTCCGATGAATCGCGCTGTCACCGGTGCTGAGCCTGGTGCAGGCCAGGCCTGCGGCTCCTACCCCATCCCGCGCCGCCTCCTCCCAGCATTTGGACAGCACCCACCCGCTCCTCTGGGGACTCCGGGCTCCGCCCTAAGAGCCAGGTTAGAAGGTTGGCGCAGAAGGTGGTCTAGGGCTGTGGTTGCGGGCGAAGAGGGGCAAAGGGTCGATCTGGAGCAGGCGAAGCCCCAACCCGCTTTCTGGGGCAAGGGCTTATTCCGATGCTGGCAGGCTCTGGGCGGGAGGTGAAACAATGAGGCGGAGCGCGCGAGCTAGGACACTGCGCTGCAGAGCTTCTCAGCAGCCTGGGAGATGGGGTACCCTCCTGAGAGTCCCTAGCGCTACACACTTACTTCATTTTGGGTTAGTGGAGGAATGGAGAAGAAGGAGAGCCGAGTTGGGGTTTCTAGTCTGCCGCCCAACCCAGACCTTCTTCAGACTAGCCTCAAGACTGGCTTTGTTCTTCGATTTTTACCTTGTGGAGATACTGGGTTCATGATTCAGCACCAGGCCTAAGGAAGGGCTGGGCCCAGTGGGTTCACGCGCGAGTGGGTGGGCGGTGCTCACGCAGGCAGAGCGGAGAGGAGCGCAGCGATGCGGGAAAAACCGCACCCCGCCCGCTGTGCTGTTCCGGACCAGATCTAGAGGAGTGTGGGCGCTTGGGCGGCCTTGTCGGGTTGGGCTCTTGATTTCTTGCAGGTACCGTAGTTAGCACATTAGCATCTTAACTAAAACCCTACAAACACATTTTATGATCCGAACCAGCGCGGATCTCAAACCACAGGCAGGTGGTATATAGAAAAACATTGTGTTCTACTGGCTTTGCATTGTTATTGTTTTGAAAGTTCACGCCCACTAGGAGTTCATTGCTTCTTGGTTCTATGTCTCCTGTTCTATTTCTGTCTTACTAAGAGGATAGGTGTACCTTTTACTTGGTTATTTTTGTTTTCTTTTGTCAAAAGATCATAATGCCTCCTTTCCTTCTGTTAATGTGGTGGTCACAAGATGAGTTACTCCGGTGGGCAAGGCTTACATCTGAGAGAGTACCCTAGATTCCCGGTTGCTGTGGAGAGGTGGAGCAAGCAGTCAGTATTTGACTAAATTTAAGAGAAGCAATTTCATTTTCCCAGATCACCAAGCCCAAATTTCAATATTGCAGGCACAGTCTTTGCTTCTTTTGAAAACTTGGGTAAAGGTCTCTGGTGTCCCTTTCCATTCCTGGTCTTGCTCTGGAATAGGAATTTGGACACTTGACCGTTCACGGTGAAGGTGCATATGTTCAACTCGGATTTTAGTCTTGATCTTTGGATTGGGTTATTGACTCCACCCTACTAGGAGCCAAGCATGTGGAAATGTATTCTAAGAATTCTTTCTTATGCTCTGGCACATTATTCTTCAGTGTTTGCTTACAGGTTTCTTAGATAGTTCCTTCCCCAATGCCATTCTTAAGTGGGATTTCCATAGGAACAAATTGGAAAGTCAGTAGAAATGAAGGTTCCTTCATCATCCAGCCAGGGGTTTTGAGTCAACAGGTCTGAAGCAGGACCTAGAAATGCGTCTTTTGACTAGTAGGTGGCAGAGGAGCAGGTCATCTGTGATGTTATTTTGAGAAGCTTTCTCTTAGCTCATTTATGTTTGATAGAATCAGCTTCCAAACAGTTTACTCCAAAGTCATAAGGGCAATATAAATGTGATAAATAGGGAGGGAAATGGCAGAGTCATTCTATGTCCACTGGAAACTCCCTATAAAAAATAAACACTGGAATTGTGGGTGTGACCTCAATATCCTACAGGAAATGCTTCACTTAGGTTTTCATTTGCTGTGCGGTGTGTACAAAATATATTATTTGGAATTGTAGTAATAAGAGGTAGACATTTTCACAAAGATATTAGCCATTCCTGCCTTAATTCCATTTCATTCCAGTGCCTGGTATCGTACTGTCTGCCTAGCACACAGTAGGTATGTAATGACAGCAGTGAGGCTTACATCATTGAGAGCCTCATGGGAGGTACACGCTGTAATCTTCACTTTTCATGCTAAATGACAGGGCTAGAAAATGACAGATCGGCATTTCCACCTGGGAACTCGATTTGAGATTCTTTTTCCTTCCCTCTGTTCTAGACCTCCTCTGAGTAGATGGGTGATTCTGTCCGCAGTTACGCAGGACTACATTGCCTGTTTGGTCTTTAGCCTCTTAAATAATTGTGTTTACTATCTATTTTGTAGATGGGAAAAAAAGTGGAAGTCACTGGTAAGATAAATTATGTAGTTCAAGTGATGTATTTTGTAAGTTAGAGAACCATGGTGAGAAGCTCGGGTTTTCTTCTGATTTACCTTTGGTAGCACAATACCGTAGAGTGTTTTTACAAATGAATGAGTAGGGATGTGAGGTAGGGAAAGCAGGTTCTCAGAAGAAGTCACAGGTTACTCTTATGAGAAACCAGTCTGCTGATACATAAAGAACAGCGCAGCGGCCCTTCCTGCCTGCTATCACCAGACGTTATAAAGGAGAAAACTGAGACAAAACAGTTAACCCAGACTTGGGAAATGCAGTGATTCCCAAGTAAAGAACAAGAAAGGCATTTGCAAATCTGCACATAAAAGCTCGGGACCTGTAGAGCTCTGAGATGAGGATTGTTTCCACTGAGGGGACCCTGCCCTTTAGGTCTTGTGGAGACCAGGGAGGCTAGAGAGTAGAAACACTTGTGCTGTGCACCAGAGTCAGAGGTGATGTTGAGGATATTTGGAGATACCACTGCGAAGCCCGTGTGTGGACAGCTGAGAATCCACCACCTGACCCGAGTCTGCATGTAGGGAGTTTGAGCCTATGTAAGCACTGAAGAGGCAACTTTTCAAGGGTGAGCATTATTATTTTCATCATTGGGAAATCTGAGACTAGAGACCCTGAAGAACTTGCCAGAGGCACCATGGTTTCTGTGTTCTAGAACTAGGATTTAAGTCAGGATTGGTTGTCCCCACTGTCCATTTACTGAGGACTAGAAGCTAGAACAGATACCAAACGTTGTCACAACAGGCCTATCTAGGACTAAGCCGGTGAGAGAAATCAATGCCTATAAACCCAGTCACCTCGGACTAGAAAAGCAGATGAAGTGTGCTGGTGTGGGAGGGAAAGGGGACAGATGAGTATCGGAAACAGGAGCCCAGAAAGCAGCCTTTCAGAGGTGGAGGACAGCAACCCGAAACAGAGCAACAGTGGAAACCGTTCTGTTTGTTTCTGTTGATTTAACTTCCTCAAAAACTTGAGATACAGTATAAGAATTTACTGTTCTACAATTTGACAAAAACTGACAGTATAATAATAGTGTACAAAAATGTTTGAAATAAAGTTTTAACTTGGGCTGCCTGGAAACAAACACCAACTTTCTTCACAGTAAATATAAGAAATTCCCATTTGTAGAAAAGACATTTGTGGGAACTTTAGGCTAGGAAGTTTTAGGTTTCTGCTTTTGTTTTTGAGGGTAAATTAGCAACAGTATGGATATGATACGGTTATGAGCAGAACTGTGATGAATGGGCTAACATTGAAGAAGGAAGATGTGGAAGTTATAATTTAACAAGTTTGCTAAGTGCGTCCTTGAAGCTTGGGAATGAGAGAAATGGAAGAAATAGAGTGAATGTGAATTCCTTATACAACCAGAAATGCACATGGTGTGAAGTGGGGGGAGGTGTGAAGTCCTCAGACCTTGGGTCCCTTATACAACCAGTAATGTTCATGGTGTGAAGTGGGAGGAGGTGTGAAGTCCTCAAACCTTGGGTCCCTTATACAACCAGTAATGTTCTTGGTGTGAAGTGGGGGGAGGTGTGAAGTCCTCAGACCTGAGATCTACTGGGACAACCAATAATGAGCATTGTATGGGGGTTGTGATTAAAGTTAGAATTTGAAGTGGACCAAAGAAGATAAATCAAAGTAAAGAAGTACTGTGTAATCAGAAAGCGCTATTTCTGATCTTAGATCAAAGTCCAGGCCCAGGTCCAACTCTAGGTTTTTATATGGAAGAAACTTTCAAAGGTGTGGTGCAAGATCATGATGTCAGCCCCGTTCCCTGGTTCTAGAGCTGAGTATCTCAGAGGACACGGCTGCTGGCTCCCGTGTCTACTCAGGTATGTAATGTTGGGGACCAGGGAATGCTGCTTTGGAGTGTATGAGCTGAGTTTGTACACTATAGAAAAGGACTGGAAAGACATTCTTTAGGTGATTCCCATTACTGATGTTGTATATGACCAGCAGTCTAAGTGTTTGAATGAGTTGCCTTTGTGTGTTTTGGAAATACAGATAATGCCAAAGAAGCTAAAGAACATTCTGTGAAATGGGAATTAATTAGAGTAGACCAGAGCTGGTGTCTCTCTAGCAGAAAGACCACATCCCCAGCCCCAGGCATTTACATGGAAGAACTACCTGTGTCAGGTCACACTGTCAGGATTGTCATGACAGACAGTGTGGCTGAGGCTATGATGATCAACGACTGGTCAGTCATCTACAGGAGGAGGTGGAAAAGCTGCTGGGTGAAGAGTCACTCCAGACAGAGGTCAGGTCTACAGACGATGCCACATTCTTTCTGTAGTCATGGAGGGTGCAGAGTACATTTCAGATCATGATCCTACTTGCTCCCTGGCTACTGAAATTGACTTTGAAACCTGCCATTCAACTGGGCTATTGTTTCTGGGTGATATTGCTTACTGTCTCCTGTTTAAAAAGTAACCACACCTAGCTGTATTAGATCCTTCTCTTGTCTTTGTGATGAACTACCTGAGAAAAACAACTTAAATAAAAGGGTTTATTTGGGCTTATGATTTGAGAATGGAGACAGTCCATCATTATAGGGAAGCATGGCCTCAGAAACATGAGTGATCAACAGGAAGCAGGAA